GAGGAGACCAAAGAGGCAGGAGGTATTTGGCAGTGCAGCTTCTTGTTTGGTGCACCCCTTCTTTTTCTTGGTGGAGTAGATGCTGGTGGCAAGAAAGACAAGCACCAGCAGAACTTGTTGTGCAACTAGCTAGAATGCTCCCCTCTGGCGGTTGCTTGTTCTTGCTATGAAAATACTACTAGTAGTAGCTATAGTGAATAGAATTGGTGGCAGCAGCAATGGTGTGGCTGTACAAATTTATGAATAGTGCTGCTAGTACTACTACTAGTACTACTAGTAGTATTTTTCTCCACAAGAAACTCTGAGGAGATACTACTACTAGTAGTAGTGAGACAAAGARGCAGTGTTGATGACCTTAGATAGTAGTGCCAAAGCTTCAGGGCCTTGCAAAAATAAGTGAGCATGAGATGGACAGATTGGATTAGGTTTCAGGGTGAACAATAGGAGTTACTTGTTATACTTTCATTGCTGTCAACTACTTCTTCTACTAGTACTACTCTCATTGCAGTGCTTGTTCAAGTTGTGGCCATGGAGGTCTTCGTTTCATTGTTCCCAAAGAAGAAGCAACACATACTACTAGTACTAGTAGGAGCAAACTCAGTAGTAGAAAGAACTCCATCAAATAAATTGAGAACACTACTATAGGAAATGATCCACCATAATGGTCATCCTTGTTTGGCATTGTTCTTSTTGTTGCTCTTGTTAGTAGCTACTAGTAGTCTTGACRGTGGTGATGCACATCATATAGTATAGTACTACTACAAGAAGTGGTAGCATTCTTCTACTCATCCCCACCTGTGCTGGGGGGTTATCTCATGGAATTCTTCCTTACTTCTTATATCTCATTCTGGGAACAGAGAAATAAGGATCTCCGTGGCTAAACTCTTTCTGAGAAACAAGCACAGCATCAACAGAGGATTATAATGAAACTCGGCAATCAGTTTGCTCTTAAACCACAGACATGTCCATCTTATGCCCACCACTTATTCTCAGAGGATATGGAAGCATACATATCTAATAGACCTACTTCCTTGCTCACATACTACCAACGAGTATACAAGAAAACTATGAGAGCATCCACAAAGCATCTCTCACCTATGCTTCCTACACGCAACTTATCACACAGTACTTTTCACATCTGTTTCATAGTAAACAATCTATCGAGAGGCAATGGTTCTGGATTTTTTACCTTTCCTACTAGTTAACGAGGTTAAGTATAATGCTATGTTTTTTATGGAAAAGATGGGTGGGACCGTCGAGAAGTGCAAGACGACACCATATTCCAACCAGATGAATCATTCCTGGAATCCGGCCTCAAACTTGAGGTAACGTTTTAAATCTGAATCATGAAATCAATCTGCTCGCATCATATGAGGCACGCATCGCTACTTAAAATTGGTATTAATGTTGCAAAGCAWAAGCAGTTGATAACTAAATRATCTTGTGTCAGCGTACTTGAGCCTCRGTCATCAGTTTCCGATTTTCAGCGTCGCGTAAAACCGCTTCATTGTATCGGTCATGCGTCGAAGAGTATCGGCATTGCGTTGCCGTTCCTTTTCGATGGTCTCGATGGCTTCGGCTCGTTTGGTTTCGGAATTCTCAAGTGTCTGCGCGAGCCAAACAATTTGCGATTGCATAGTGTTGATGTTTTCGGCTTGTTCGCGGGCGATGTCCAATGCACTAGAGGAAGTGGTGGTGGTAAGGATGGACTGRACTCTTTCCAATTCAGCCGTGAGCTCGTCGATGCGCTCCATCTGCGAACATGCTTCTACTCGTGAGTCAAAGAGATCCGAGTCGACGAGTTGCAGCTTCTCCTCCATGCTTGCAATTTGGTCATCCTTTTGCACAACTCGGTCTTGGAGAGCACGCAACTCTCTTTCCAAGGCTTCCTCTCTCGCAAATGCCTCCGATGATGTCATGTCTTTCTCACRCTGGAGGGCTTCGACCTGACATCGCAGAGCCATTATTTCTACAGAAACATTTTCATTCTGCTTTGTTGAAGTCTCCTCTTTGTTCTTCAAGCCCGCCCTTAGATCGGAAGCCTCTTCACGAAGCTTCGTCTGTTCCGCTCGCGAACACATGAGTTCGTCCTCGAGTTGAGCTAGACGGGATTCTAGCATTTCATTTGTAGCTTCCGTATCTTTCATCAAATGCAGATCATCTTGCAATTGTTGTACGTTCTCTTCTGATGATTGGAGCTGCTCCGTGACACGCGCTAGCTCTTGTTCCGATCTGTCGCACTTGACACTCATTTCACGGAGTTCTTCCTTTTCGATTGCGACAGAAGTCTCCATATCTTGAACCCTTTGCCGTAGCATTTCCAATTCGGCACTCTCAACAGGTGCATCGCCTTTACTCTGGAGCTGATTGTATAAATCTTGCGCTGCTGCATCTTTCTGAAGAAGCAATCGCTCGTACTCACTCACTTTGTTTTCCGTTTCTGAGAGAGTGCGCCGCAGCGTTTCAGATTGTTCGGCGTGGCCTTCCAATACCTGTATTTGTTGGCGGAGTTGAGCGATTTCACTTTCCTGAGCAATAGAATTCTTTACAATCTCGTTCTTTTGCAACCTCGCGTCGTCAATCGTCGCCTGGAGTTTTCCTTCCTTTGTTTCGAAAGAGACAATTAGCACGTCTACAAGATTCTGCAAGTCCTCGACTTTCCCATTGAGGCCCAACTTGTGGGATTCCATCGCTTGTATTTGTTCCGCTGCTGCCGATTGCTCTGATTTCATTTCACCAATCTTGTCGCGCAGGGCGCTGTTGACCTCTACCAGTTTCTTTGTGTTGTCATCGACATTACCTACATTCTTTGTCATCTCTTCTGATTCACGAATGAGAGCATTCAGTTTCTTTTCAGACATTTTCAATCGATCCTCGTACTCTTGGGTAGTTTGTTGAGCTAACTGAAGATTGTTTTCAAGCTCTCCTTCTATCGATATCTTTCTCTGCAGTTCCTCTTTGTGTGTTTGAATCTTTCTCTGGAGTTCTTCCTCATATTTTTCGTCCCTCCTTACGAGTTCCTCTTCGTACTTCGTAGCAGCCATTTGCAACTCTTCGACTTCTATCGCACGGCTATCGAGTTCTTCTCTTAGCTGTGCTGCTTCATTTTCTTTCTCATCCATCTCCTCATTTAGTAAGCCAAACTGGACAAGCATTTCTTCGTTTTCGACAACTAAATTTTCCATTGCATTTTGCATTTCGTCTCTCTCACTGGTCAATTCTTCCATTTCTTCCCTCAACTGAAAGAGAGTTGCCGTTTTGTCTTTAATGTCTACGTTTTCAGACTCCAGTTCGGTGATGTACGCATTAAGAGTTTGTAGTTGRGTGAGTAGTTGAGTCTTTTCACTTTCAATTTCCGCAATACTGAAAGATTGCGATCGTTGCTGCTCTTGAAGGATCATAATTTCTTCAGCCTTCCTTGATAAATTGCGCTCATTCTCCGAACGACTACTTTCCAGA